TGATATCCGAAGTTCCCCCCCCCGCGCCTTGGATATCTGTAGAGGGAGGGGGTAGTGGGGTTTTTCATGTCGACGGATAGACATAGCCTTTTAGACGGTCTACTTTAAAGGAGTCCGATGAGTGTTTCCTCTTCTATACCTACCATTTAGTTCTTTTCCATGAAAATGACGATTCTTACGAATCGTTCTGTTGTGAGGAAATTAGTACAGTTATAAACACCGCAAGCAGTCAGAGCATTTCTAACCTGGGACCAGGCTCAGCAGTAAGGGAAAAGGGCAAAAGGGTGTAATCGTACTGTGCGAAGGGGACTTTGTAAGCTTTCTCGGCATTTACATATATATGGAGCGATTAATATGGCCTAGGGTTAGGATTGCGTGGTGTCAATCCTGCTTTGGCCATTGTGAATTTTGTAACAGATCAAGGGACGGTCTGTTTTTCTTCGTTGTCACTTCGAGAGTATCTCATTGTGACGGTTTCGGGAATTTTACTAACGCCGACCGGATTTATTATGATACCGCTTTTTATTAGGAACATCTCTGTTCCATTTCTAGTTTGTTTTGCCGTGAATGAATATTCTAATAATGGGCGGATAAGGTTCTTGTGAGCCACGGATCTAAGAGCGGATAAGTTGATTCTCAGGTTCCTTAAGTAAACTAAGTTATTGATGTCCTGCTTGCCTTTGTGATATCTGCGATATGGCATCTGAGGTGAGAAAGACTTGTAGGTTCTTTTCCGAGTCTACTCTTGCAAGAACTTTACTTTGCAGGGAGTAGAGATGGGGGAATGTTATTTGTGGGGGTTCTGTTTGAGAGTGGCTCTTTACTTTTTCTGCTCACATTTCAAATTTGTTCGGTTTAGTGTCGAGATTCTCAGTGTCAGCCTTTGATGTTATAGTAAGCTAATAAAGAGAGTCGTCCGCGAAGATACACATTTGACTGTCAAGTCTCGCGTAGTTCTTTGATGTACAATATAAATAAATATGGCTCCAAGCCTGAGCCATGAGGAACTTCTGACTTCACACATCTTAGCTGTTAATGATCACTCGTTTGGTTCGATTTTTCTTGTTTTTCTATGTTGAGTTCAATTCCCACATTCGAAACGTCAAGTTAAACGTATATTTCCTTCCCGAAATGCGTTTTTCCTATCAGTTTATCACCGCAGTTTGCTTGTTATTTCTTCTGTACTGATATAACTTGAGTTGGTCGACCTAGTATTTTGTAGGCACACTTTTCATCTTTAAACCTAAACAGCTTGATCTTTATTGTAAATTCATTATAACACATGTTTATTAGACAAAGGATCGGAATGGATTTCACATGACAATGACGCCACAATTGATGACGCTCTAAATCTAATTTCAGCCCCTATCCGCATTTTCTTCGGAAATGTTTTGGGTGCTTGCCTTTTGCTGGGCGAAGTTTCACTTAAATCTATTGGAGACATTTCGACATATCGACATATCAAAAGAGTATAGTTGATGAGTGATTTAATACAGACAAGTTTCCTTCTTCTTGGATATTTCCGGTTGAAAGATTTTACCGGCCAACCAAGTGTTACTATCGATTAAAGTCCCACCTAAACTAATTTTGTAAGACCAAGACGCAAAAGTATTTGGCAAGTAAGCCCGCGAAAGGATTTCTTGTGGAGACTACTCGTGACGACGGAGTGAGTGTAATTGATATCGATTAATAAGACATCCAAAAAGGTGGGAATCCATTGTTTTTATTCTACATTGTCATTTATATTCCATTCTTTATCCAGTCATACACCGACATCTACTTTTATATATGCTTTGTTATTTATTAATTATTTCAGATTCCAGTATAAGAAACACAACCCAAAAAGGTCAAAACATGTTCAACTTCTTTCGCCACAGTAAAACGTATACATGTTAGGGTATTGGCTATAAATGTTGCTGAAAACCGATTACATACTGTGGTGAGGGGAAGAACAGAAGGTCTTGACTACATAACAACAATTAAAAAACAGGGCCCTCGCGTATTGTTCTTGCTAACTAGGACAGGAGTGAGAGTTGGGGGACATGGCCACTCCATCGAGTTCGTCGGAATCGTTCGTCACGTTTTTGATGCTTAGCATTATGATTTTGCTTCATATAAACCGCCTCTATAGAAACGCTACCTGTGATCGACGAAAACTGTAATCTCTAGTTCACTCTGGAAATTGCTAAAGATCTTATAGACATTGGAGTGTCAAAAAACTCCAAAACAATTAAACAAAAAAAAAGCGATTACAAGAGATAGTTCCCTGTTTTAAACTTTGATTTAACTATGTGTAACTGGCTGCAGATCCTTCATCCATGATTTCCTTAATTCCGCCACCAAGTAGGGCAGGCTGTCAAATACAGAATCACCGATCTCCACTTTCCCTGATTCACGATGAACCTGTGAATAACGTAAAAAAGCCGGAGCTTTTATGAGTAGGGGCGGATCCAGGTTTTTGTTAGAGAGGGTGGCTGACCAATCGGCCCGGAAACACAGTATTAAGTTTAAGTGGTCCTATGGCGTTCACAAAACAATGAAATTGAGGTAGATTGAATGGGAACCTGCCACAACGAAAATTCTGACAACCCCACGAAAAATAGAAGAAATAATTACATTACTTGCCTAAAATCATGGACCCTCACTGGCAGTACACGATATCACGGATGACACAGAAAAATGTTCTAACAAACTTGTTAGTCGTCCAAAAGGGGGGATGGCTAGACCCAATACACCTCTCCTGATGAGCCGACAAGTGAATTGCTCACCAGGAAGAAAATTTACAGCGAAAAAAGGAAAACACAAAAGCCTCCGCCTCCTTCTAAAATGGGGCCAAATTTTGGGGCTTGTCAGCAACACATGCCCATCCAAAACCTTCACAAATGCTCGAGGGAGTTTACGCTGATGAGCGATCAACCTAATTCCTCACTCATTACTTACCATAACTTGCAGAAACTGGACAAAACAAAAACGTCCACCTTTTAACTCTGAGGGTGGGGGGTTGGGGGGGAGCTACTCTCTTTCATAAGCTATAAAGGTACTTGAATCGCCAAAGAAGATGGATTTTGGCTTTTGGTCTGAAAGTGCGAAGAGATTTTAACCTTTTGCGTAGGAAAAAAGGACAAATGACAACAATGCATGTGAGGCAAGGTTTTGTGCCCTCTGAAACCAGGGAACAGGGTTGGGGTTTTCATGAGGCATGCCACACATCCCCGCAAGAATTCTCCATGGAAACCCACCCAAGGAAATTACTGAACACAAAAACGTCACTGATTAGAGAGCAGCTGGCACACTTTTGATTACTGTAAATATACAAGACATTATCATGATTTTAAATAATGATTACTGACAAAACTTGCCTCTATATTATACTCAACGAAGTCATTGCTATGTGACTTAGTCGACAACACAAAGCCAGGTGACACCATGGAAGTGTTGAATCTGACCAGGAATGCTCCACCCTCATGATTTAGAAGTTTCTGTTTTGCCTCACTCTCTGTCATGTATCCTGCAAACCAGCTGCAGTAAGATGAAATAATTTTGTCAGAGACATATAAAGCTTAGAAGTGACCAGATAAAGTTAGAACCTGAAGAAGAAGGCATGACAAGTTACACCCTACTCTTGTATTGTAACCATGCATACATAATTACACGAAATGCCTTAGCTTTCAGTCGACTTGAGGTGGCTGGGTCAAGTCAATGAGTGTCCATTCCACTAATCCCCTTGATTGCACCTTCCATTTGATACTAAACAATCCAAACGTTTATGTAAATTTCTATGAACGTGAGTAAAGTTGATGATGATAATGATAATGATGATGATGTTGATGGGAGGATCTGAACTAGGGAATGTCACTTTGTTCTATGGGGTTTACAAGAGTTCAGCCCAAATGACTTTCTGTCTCTGTATCACTAAAATGTGACCAAAGCCATCCACTTACATAAAGCGGAAGTACATGTATGAGAATAATGTAAAAATGATTGTTGTTGACAGGGAAACAGATCCACAAGCTTGGTCTGTTTGTAACGTTTTTCATTAAAAGAGACACTACAAAGGGACTGGGTTTCTGACATATATTGTTGAAAGGAATTTCCTATCATTCTACAGCTTAAAGAGTTGTAAGTAGTCCACTAATTTCTTGTACTATTATCCCAGTGAGGGAGAAATTAAGATTTGGACAGTAAAATATGATTGGGTTGCCATTACCTTGTTTTTTCACCATCAGGACTTAAAGAAGCTGAGCTTTCCATTAAATGAACCATCTTCATACAACAAAAATTTAAAAGAATAATTATTTTAAATTTATCTATTTCATTGGCATTGTTGTAGTGTAGATGCACTGGCAAAACACAAAATTTTAGTAAGATAAGAGAAGCACAACCCCTTGACTCATCTACCAGTAAACTGAGGAGTCTCTGACTTCATGCTTTTTTGGGACAATACTGACATTTGGAAAGTGGTTAAGCATTTCTCAAGCTTTTTATAAAAACAGAGCATCAAACAAATATGCTATCATTATGAAGCTAGTGATTAAATTTTGGCAATCATAAAACCCAATTATCATTTTAAAAAAGTGTATTAATTTTAACCTGAACTGAAAAAAATTTAATTAATTCAATTTTAATTTTAAAGAATTTGTATAGCCCTAGAACTATAAAATATTCAAAAGCACTTTACATTAAGTTACAATTAAAAGATAAATTAAAATTCCTAAAAAGCTAGTAATAACAATAATTATAATAAAAAATTTCCTTGCTAAGCTAAAATCTAAAAAAGTGAAAGTCTAAAATTCAATACAAAATTAAAATTACATATTTAAAGCACTAAACATTAAGATTCAGATGTGAGCATTCACTTTTTTATCCCCTTATTAACAAATTTACTCACAAATTACGTTATGTGAAAATAAACTTTTACCTTGCTCAAGCAGCCTTGAGACCCTTTTGTAAAAGATCCAAACCACTTTGAGGTTCTGATAAAATGACTAAGTGATACATTTTCTGATGCCCGTTTGTCTAAAAGTGAAAATTAAAAATCAAAACTGTTGAAATGACGAGCGGGATTCCAAAGTTCTAAAAGTGTCTGCCTTAATAGTATTAATGCCATAAAAAAATTAATATCATCACCACTCAATATTCATCAAGAATCTATAACATCAAAGATAAATGATCTTCATTTTTAAAGTTTAGTTTCAAGGGACACTTGTCAACATGATTACCAGAAACACAATAATACAACCATTATATTGTCCCATTGAAATTTGCCATAAAAGTGATGAGTTAATTATGGATCATCACTATTTAATTTTTAACTACAAAGGCTGTTCAGATAGCGAAAACCCAAACAATATTAGCTTCTAGTTTATGTGACAGTTTTCTACACTACCATTTTAATGCAAAAGTGGTAAAAAGTAGCACTCTTTAAATAGATTTACATGTGTTCAGATGCCTCAATGCATCATAAAACTAAAAAGGTCATTTTGTTTACATCACATGCACACCAAAAGAAATTAAAAAATTTCCTACCATAGTTAACTCCGAGCACATATGCCAGGAATTTTAGTAATGGGATAGACCCTCCTTGCTCAAGCTCATCAGGGAATCCTTTGATGATTGCGTCCTCGAAGTCTGTCCAACACTATTAGGTAGAAAGAATTTGGTTTCTAAGCATAATAAAGACATCATATCAAGTATTGTCGACAGTCATTAAGAACGTGATGACTAACGATAAAAATATTGATGACAATTATTAATGATCAAAAATGCTTAAAACTGTCTTTGGCCATCATTTCAGACCCATTTAAGTATTAAAATGATGGGCAGCCTTTGCAATTGTATGCTCAGAAGTGAATTCCCCTAGATTAAAATTTGGCTACTGTAGTCAATGCTTTAAAGCTAAACTAATTTGAGCTAGATTACCTTTTCCTTAAAACCACCCTTGATTGATTTCCAGAACTCGTTTGATGGATTGTTCTCATCTTCCCAATTTAGCAGGTCCTCTACAGAAATGGAATGCAGCAAACCTAAGCTAGAATTAACACTTCAATTCCATAAAATTTTCTAATCACAAACGTGTGGATATCATTATCACCTTAAAGGCTTTAATTTTTTTATTGCCTTATCAATCTTATTATTGAAGTAAATTCAACAACACTCCTGGGCTTTCTGTGGCCCAACATTTCAACGCCAAGGGCCACAGTATTTCTGATTGTCCAGGTACGTGGTTTGACTCTACGCGTTTGAACCAACATCCAAAAGAAGCAGCATGAAATGAGGATAATTTTCCAGCTTTGAACAGTTTAGCCCATGAAAGGACTTGAGGTCAATTTTAGCTTCATCTGAACTGTGACTTGTGTCTTTTACACACTACCATTTACACATGCACACACTTCAATTTAATGTCTAATGACAATTGCGTAGTTCAACGGTTTTATTTACAGTGAAGAAGGGTTTAATACACATGAACATCCATTTTTTCAAAAACATTTATGATACTTTTTAATAATTTGTTGGAATATCGGCAATCTCATAAACTGCCCCATCTTTTTTTGTTCCATTGTTTTCTTGACATGACATGACATAACTATGTTTGTATACTATTTTAAAAGTTCAATTAAATGATATTAGCTCAATTTCTGTCTGTGGGTGTGTTACAAACTGGACCAAGATTTATCAATCATAATTTTTCTCATGTGCACCAAATTACATGTGTTAATTTGTTGCACGCTAAAGGTAATATTGTTAATGATATATGAAATAAATCATTATATGAACTGCCGAAATGAAATGAAAATGAAGAAATGATCGTCGCAGTGAACACAATTTATGTAATTGTGTAAAGAAGCCTGAAAAAAATTCAGGACGTCAACGGGGTTTGAACCGGTGACCTTGCGATTACCGGTGTGATGCTCTACAAACTGAACTATGAAGTGACTGACGTTGGGAGCATATGTTCCCATGAAGGAAATGAGTGTAAACGATATATGAAATAAATCATATATGAAAACGGAAATGAAAACGAAGAAATGATCGTCACAGTGAATGCAATTTATGCAATAAGGCGTAAAGAAACCTGAAAAAAATTCAGGACTTCAACGGGGTTTGAGCCTGTCACCTCGTGATTGCCGGTGCGATGCTCTACCAAATGAGCTAATATATAGATTTAGCCATGGCTAAAAGCGAAGCTCTCGATAATATTTATAGTTTGTTCAAACAAATATTAAATCATGTAATGCTAAGCGGCGAAGGCATGCAATGCCGGAAAACAGTGAAAAACAACAATAGGTGTAATTAGCAAAAGCAACTTTGCACGTGCAGCACACTTTTTTGTACATTTCTTTGCCGTTGTTTTGCACGACTACGTGAAACCTCCAGAAACTTCTTAGTTACACGTTTTATGTAGGAAATGTCATACGTGTTCCCACTCACTTTTTTCACTGCCGCTCATCTTCACCTTGCATTGGTGGCTGCTAGCATTTCTCATTTGACCGCTGCTACAAAATTTGCATGTTGTTCTTCCAACAAAAAAATGTCTCCTTTGTTTTTTATCTCTCGCTTTAAATCCCTGTCTCCCTTTTTCTCGTTGAGCTTTGCTGGCCTGCCGCCCACTTTCTCTTTTTCTCTGCCTTTCTCTTGCTCTATATTCCAAATTTGTGGACATGACAATTTATCTAAGCTTAATACTTTAGACAACACAGATACAGAAACAATTTCCGCTATCCATTTTCGTCTTTTTTGTCTTTTGTTGTCTCTGCTTTACAAGACGCCTGTGGCTATGTGATTTCCCACCAAAATAACCTCGAGTTGCATTTGGGTTACCATACCTGTTAATTGAGTTATTTAACATTGGTATACCTGTGGTGCGGACGAACGGTCTCTCGGGCGGGTGGGCAGTGTACGGTCACATGATTACCAAATTTTCTCGGATGGGTAGTTTACTTTATTTTCTTACCCATGGTGCTCCGCTGGTGTGCTTCGTGGGCAAGAGCTCCGCTATGAAGCCACTGACGTTGGGAGCAGGTCAATTGTGGGTTCATATGTTCCCGTGAAGGAAGAGAGTGTTAATGATATATGAAATGAATCATATATGAACTGCAGAAATGAAATGAAAATGAAGAAATGATTGTCGCAGTGAACGCAATTTATGCAATTGCGTAAAGAAGCTTCTTTACACGCTTCTTTACACAACTGCATAAATTGTGTTCACTGCGACGATCATTTCTTCATTTTCATTTCATTTCCGCAGTTCATATATGAACTTCGTAGCTCAGTTGGTAGAGCATTGCACCGGTAATCGCAAGGTCATGGGTTCAAACCCCGTTGAAGTCCTGAATTTTTTTCAGGCTTCTTTACGCAATTGCATAAATTGCGTTCACTGCGATGATCATTTCTTCATTTTTAAAGGTAATATTGTGGGTTGGGTTAAAAAGATTGAGTTAAACTGGATTTTCTAACAAGATTGGTTGCACCCTTAATAGAAGCGAAAAACAATAAAGGCAATAAAGGCAATAAAGTCCAAACTGTGGTTGGTTATTAAGATTCCTTTGAACAATTATCTGCAAAGGCTTCTTAGTTATATCCACAAGTGAGTGTGTGACCGGAATTTCAAAAACTTTCAATAAGGAGATTGTTGCTTCCAGAAGGGGCTTCTGCATAAAACGAAAATGAGGATTTTTCCGCACTTGAAATAAAGAATTATATACTTTTCCTGTCAAAATAAAATGGCCTCTGGCCTCTGGCTTGATACAGGTATCCTAGACTTTCTATGAGGTGGACTGCCTGTTTTAAGTAATTGGCCACAACAAACATTCCTCATTCCAAATGTACAAGAAAATCATTTTTATGGTAACGTTCCAGGTATTGTCCTCACACTAAAGGGACAAAAGGATTCAAAAGAATGTTGAAAAAAGAGTTAGCTATTAAAAAACAATATTTTCAAATACCCACCCTCATCTAATGTGCTTGTTGTAGAAGAGTTATCATCTTGAGAATTCTTGTCACTATAAAGCTGGCGTAACTCAGGAAAATGAAGCTCTAACATTTGACCTGATTTCAACTTATCAAGCTGTTTCTCTGCATGAAGACGTCTCTTCCTCTCTGTTGTAGCCATTAGACGAAAGCTTTCTTCTTGAAAGGAGTTCAAGGGTCTTTCAGCTTGACCTTTTGTGGGATCAGAGAAACTGCGTGGTCTCTGCAACTCCACTATGTGATAAATCTCATCAACTAAGGAAAAATTGATCTAATCTAATCAGCCCAGTGAGAAGTGTTAATTTAATTATTAAACACTGGAGCCCCTGGTTGCGAAGGACTGCTACTTCTTATTACAGTTTGTATGTAAACTGATACACCAAAAGAACAAAAATTTCAACTAAAAACCATAAAAATTCTTCATGATAACAGGATAATAAAATTATTCTGAAGAATAAAGTGAAGTCTGAATTTTAAAGTCTAATATTAAAAACAAAATTAAATTTCGGGGAATAATTGTATGATATGCACATAGGGTACAGATTCAGTCACATGATCATATTCCACTGGCAAAATTATAACTGATAATTAAAAAAATGGTCATCATTTTGTAAACCACAGAATAAAGCATTTAACTCTTACCCTTCTCCTTTATCACAATAAGATCCAAACATGCATTATGGTACATTTCCCTGTCTAGATCTACATCCAAGATTATTTCTTGACCTTCTGCCAACTTTTTTAGGTCCTCTGTTATCAAAACCTCCTCCAAAGCCTTTTTGAGCACGCCATTCTCATAGCTCTTCCAGAGAGTATGCAAGCTCAGTAAATCACTTGCTTCTAGAACACAAAGAACTGAACCTTCACAAAGATACTTTACAACAATTCCTGAAGGTAGAACAACAGAAGCAAACAACTTTACTAGTGTTTCTGGATCATTTATGTATCTCTTCAGTATGAATGCTGTGCCAGCAAACCAAGCACCTTTGGAAGCCAATTTCAGGAAAACTTTGAGTTCAAGTTCTGAAAAAAAATAAAAGAGAATTAGAACGTGAGCCCCGACAAATTTTGAGTAGAAGTAATTACCATGTGCACAGTGCAAAAGAGGGAAATCTATTATAAAGTTAAACATGTTTTGTTAAAAACGAAAAGAAAAAACCTTGCAAAAAATGCAAAGGGAAAATCCTTGAGAGGTACAACGTATGCAGTATCTAATGACCTTGTAGTTCAAACAGTATTTGTAACAATGGCACTTCTACATGTGTATACTGCAAAGCATTTTTCACTTTGGGTCTATATATAAAAATTAGCATTTATGGGCCGATTACAGAGATGTCAATTAATTTGAACAGATCTGAAATGCAAATATTTCTCTTTTGCACCAGCCCCATACTGCTTCCCCAGCCCCATTGCCCATCATCAATCCACAAATCTGTTTTATGTACAAATCTTTGAAAATGAAATTCAAAGTTAGCACACACCGATGCCCTGCAGAATTTAATGCGGCCCTTTTACTCGACTCAACAATATTAGTTAACTACTGTAAGATAAAGGGTAAGTACAAAATGTAGGAATAAATTAATTTTGACCTGCTGGTTTTCTCTGTTTGGAATGATTATTACTGCAAAAACATGAACAACATGTAGAATTCATTTCTTTAAATTTTTTCTCTCCTGAACTACCTGCAAATAAAGAGAATTAAGCAAATCAATAACTGTCAGAATATTGTACGTGGTACATCCATATTGTTGAAGATTGGACATTTTCACACTTTTTAGCCTAGTGAGGGTTTGGTATAACCAAAAGGGTATACATCAAATGCTATGAGTGGCAGAATGACTTGTCTGAGAAAACAAACAACATTTTACAACACCACCAACGGTTTCCCCGCAAAATGTAAGTCTGAGAGATGACTGCAGAAATTCCATACTGATGACAGATCTGGGAAGTGAGGCATCATCAGCATGTAATTTCTGCAGTTGTTTCTCAGATAACATTCTGCAGGGAAACCGTTGGTGGCGTTGCAAAATGTCATCTGTTTTCTCAGGCTACAGAATGACAAATACACAAACTGAGTGGTAGGCATTCTTGAAGGGTAGGGGAGGGAAAGATTTGGCACACAAGAATGTGTGAAAGGTGTGTATTCAAGGTGAAAGGGACACAGAGGTATATTGTTTTGGCTATTTGGCTGTCTGATTGATTTTATTAAGTCTAATAACAATTTTGTAGATCCTTTGTAAGGTGCCACGTAAATATTCTATATCCGTTCTTAATCATTTATGTTTTCATTGGCTTGCAGTTAGGATCTCATCCACACGCCATCCAAGACAGCAGTGATGAAACTGGTGTGGTAATGATTTTTACAAATACAAATACTGGTATGGTACATGTATCATGTCTGTGATTGATAGAATAATTATTAATTCTAACCAAACCCAATTTTTATGGTTATGATCTGATCATAAACATTGGTCACTCACAAGCAGCATTGCAATTTTTCCCTTCCCTCCTTCCTCGCAGGCCTATCATACACCATGTATTCTCATGCACATCTAAGTTCCTCCATTCCCTTTCCCTTAAAAAACTGGCACACACAATATATGAAGGCATAATCCACTAAGAGGGTGGAGCTGTCAACAGAATGAGTTTGTTGTAAGGAAAACCAACAATCGCTGTTTTTTTTGGCAACCTACCTGGTGGGCTTAGCCTGGAGCAAAAACCTCATGCCAGCACAATTTTGAGTAAAAACCCGACTGTTTTGCAGTCTAGACCATTTCAAATAAATCGCTGCCCTGGGGTGGGACTTGTCACAGGGACTGTCCAGTGATTGGAGGGAAGGTGATGGACCTGAGGTGAACAGTAACAGCTAAAATTTAACCACGCCCAGCATTGTTTTGCTAATTCACATGGGTGTGATTTTCATATCCATATAACCCCAATTTCTGAAAAACTCTGACGACTTCTGAACCGTGCCGAAGAGGTTTTGACAACTTCTGAACACTATTGAAGATTCCCAAAGATAGTCCAATAATTTCCGAGGGTTGCCAAGTGTAGTGGTACAAAGCGCCAACCTTGGCTCCATCTTTGTGAGTCACTGGGGCAAGGTATCATGAGATCTTGCCAAGATCAAGCTTTCATTCTCCAGATTGTGCATATCTCGGTAAGACGACCTATTTGGTAGGGTTTTTGGTAGGGCAAATTGTGTATTATGTACATGAAATTGTCCTGTATGCATATGATTAAAGTTTTCGATGTGCAGGTGTGCACACACGCATAAATGACTTCATGAGTGAGTTGCTGGCAGGATGGACAGTGTTGAGGTTTGATATTGGTCCATATTACATCATCCCCATGATCCTATCACATGTATCTGGAGTCCCTCCCCCCACTGAAGTATAACAGCCTGATAATGGGAAACCCCATGGGGGGGGAGGGGAACTCCCTTACATAAGCTATATAGGTATGTGCCACCCCATTGGGTAGGGTCTTTGCGCCGTTTTGGTCTGAAAACGGGTATACACTTTGTTTACTTTGGTCTGGAATCGGGTATGGTTTTGGAGGTCTGGTCTGAAAACGGGAGTGGAAAATTCCATTTTTTGGTCTAAATAGGGTCAAGATTTGGAGAACCGGGCGGCACACTCCCACCAAGAATTCCTAGGAGTAACCCCCCCTTCGGCTGGGAAACACTGGCACTCAGTTAAAAAAAAAAAGACTTACACTCACAGCTGACAGCTAATGCCATGTCGACTCTGCCGTCAGGATCATTATCCCCACGTGGAAATCCGTCGGTTTGCATACATCCTGAACTCCCCCCTTTGACTTTGTCACGTTGTTTGTTCAAGGCCAGCAATTCAAGCTCTCTTCGCGAAGTAAAGTCCTCAACTTTACTCGCCAGTTGTCTACATTGTACGTTCGTTAACAGCTCGTGGACAAATGACAAATCGTCTGTCCCTAACAAATCGTGTCTCTCCAGAGTCTTGAAGAGCTCCAATGCTGAACAAATTTTTTCCAATTCACTTTCCCCGATAACATCTGAACACAAAAATTTAAGATCTTCTAGATTTTGTTCAGTCACATCCTTGGCTATTTGAAGGAGAAGGATTCTGTACGGCGAACCCATGAATTTCTTCTTCGATCGATCATCAAAACCTCAAAGTTGTTGATCGCTAAATTACATGGTAATCGTCTGGTGAAATCCAAACCACGCACCTCTAGACGAGAAGAAGTGGAAGTTCCTGATACTGATATGTTACTGATATGTTGGGGTATTCCCCTCGCCCAAATTAACGCTGTTGTCAGTCTGATTCTGTACGCCGCCATTTTCCCTTTTTATGAACCACAGGGTCCCAGGGCCCTAACTCTAGATAGGAGCTTAGGAGCCTGGCCTGCTTGATCGTCTGACCAGCTATAAAAAGTCCGACGGCTGAAGGCCCGGGGCTGAAGGAGAGTGTATTTGAGGTAAACAAACAAACAAACAAGCGAACGAACAAAAACAAAAGAGACTTCAAAAGCTTTCTTCTTCAGATCAAATCTCTGCCTTCTTTTAAACTACTTGCAGTCGCCTTTTCTCTCACAATCCGTCCATTTCTTATCCCAGCCAGCGCGATTGAAAACAACGACCAAACTACCGACCAACCTCGTCCCCTTCCGTGGCTTTGACGTTACTGGTTGAGAGTGGAGTATTAGCTTTAAAAAGAAAATTCAGCGATAAGAGACTGCTCATAGCCTGCGAAAACATCCGTTTCTCCTCGCTCTTCGCCGCTAGGGACGTTTCGCACGACAAAGCCGAGGATACAAAAGTGATTAACTTGTCTGGCTGTGAAAGGTTTGAACCCAGGAGTCATTTCTAAAGTAGGTTGAGTCTGATCGTCCGGTAATTTGTCGTAGCCTGCGAAGCTGGCGGGATGCGCAGGGGTTACTCCGCCGCAAAAACAATACAGCACTCTCACACAAATCCCGCCAGCTACGCAGGCTGAGCCAGTCACTCTACACCCCTCTTTTGTTGCCAGCACGCCCATGTCCCGGATAAAGTAAATGAAACTTTTTTTTTCTTCTAGCTGTCTCTGGTTCATTTAAAAACATTTTCCTCACTATCAACACTTCATACTTCATACGATGTTTTACCCTTACCCTTTTATATACCATTTTGGACAGAAAACATTAAGGTAACCCTTTCGTATACCTTCTACTGACAACTGAAGGTAACCGGTCCTTTCACATACCTCGTTTAAAATGCTGCACCCCCTTTAACTGCTGATATGAATAAATCACTTAACCAGGAAGTTTTTTTAGTCTCGTACACATCAATTCGCCACTTGCACATCTCCAATAATGCACCTTACTGGCCCCCCGAAATTGTTTATAACCTTTGTTTTTCATTTCTCATGGGTATTACAGCAGTTCCAACAGAAATTGAAAGCAATGCTTACGCGGGAGATGTGCAAGTGGTGAATAAAATGCGTCTGTTAGCCCTTATTGGTCCTTTTACAGACCGCCAGATTGACAGATTTCCCTACCCCTTCAGCATGTACTCCAGATATACTTCAACTAATGAAATCCCTACCCTTTCATTGACCTGAAGCCTGAAAAAGTTACGCCTTTCGGGCTGACGCGGGCAATTAACGCTATAGGCGGTAAACTTGCGCACTCGTGTAACCTGAACCATTTATTTTTTCGTAAATAGACTGCAGATAGATTGTTTGTAAAGCCCAAGTGGGTGTAAACTGACAGTCCAGAACTCTATTTTTATTTCTTCAAATTTCTTGTCAGACGGCTTCCGTTATCCATTTTTTAAAAATCTGAGTCATATTTTTCGTGTCATGATGTTGTTTTGGCGGAAATAAGGCCGTTTCATAATTTCGATTCTGTGCCCGAGGCTCTTTCTCAAACTTTATAAGAAGTTCAAGCTCAGTTAGGAGAGAGAGTCATTTCAGTTATTTATTTATTTATTTATTTATTTTTCTGTGGCAAGAAATTAAACAAAATCAAAAGAATTTTCTGGACTATTTGTTGTCGTTTAGCAACTTGCTCACT